TTGAACTTGAAAAAGAAATTTAATTTGATTTTTTAAATAAACGATTTCACCGATTTACACGCGTTTTCCCTTGACCAAATTTTGACCGTATCACCCTTTATAATGTTTAGGTAGTTCTGAGGAAAATTCTATGACGATTGTTAAACGAATTGCAGGTAATTTTTTCGTGATTATTCTAATTTTGTTCAGACAAGAATTACAAGAAAGTTCTTATGGAAATTTCGTGGGTATTGAATTCTGAGGAAATTCGAATGAAAGCTTCAAGTGGATTCTAAGGAGAATTCCAAGTGACTTTTCAAAAGATTTCCGAGTAGAAGTTCAAGATAATTCTGAGCAGGATTTCAATAAATTTTAATAATCCCGGAGACGAACCAGCCCAGGGCTAAACGTCTCCTTAATAAAGATAAAAAAAATAATTTGACAAATGTATCGATTTTTGCAAATCATTTGAAGTTACTTCATTTTCCTAGTACAATGATATTTTCAAGTTCCACAGTTCATCGAAAATTAAAATAAAATAAGTAGGTACTTTACTATTTTACACATACATAAAAAATTGAACGCTAGCCCCATACTAAAGTACAGCCTAGGGACGCTTATATGATGATTTTAGCCAATTATCTTTTTTTTTTAAATAGTCGCACTGCTCCAAAATTGTTGATTATTTTTATTTCAATCACATTTTTAATGCATGCTACGAATACGCAATTACCTCATTACCCATGAAGAACCAAATTAATAAAAATTCGAAGAGAGTATTAGGATGAACTCCTTGATTTTTTTTGAGTGTTTTGTAGAGGTTGTCTGGACTTTAATTTAAAACAAATGTATTTTAGTGGAATTCTGAAATAAACTCTGTGAAAAGAAGTGATTTTAAAGGAAATGCTTGAGAAGTTTCCAGGGAGTTAAGGAAAATAAACTATAATTCTAGGAAAAAATGAGGAAAATACTTCTTCTTCTTTTTCTTCTTCTTCTTCTTCTTCTATTTCTTATTCTTCGCATTTCAATCATCCAACAGATTTGCAGTCTTGGACAAAGTTGTTTAGTTTACAAAGAACCAGCTTATGGTGGTTTCTGATTAGTTCGTATTTCTGCTGCATAAGTGGCGCTCCCATTTAACTTTTGAACGGAGCATCCTACAAGGATGGTTTCTTCGACAAAGTTGTGCATTTTATTGTTCTGAGAAATAATTTCGAAGCATCAATGACCTCGGACTCCCTAAAATTGAGGTACTGGCTTTCAAAAAATGTTCTCAAATAAATAATTATCTTAATTTTTAACGTTTTTAGCTCGGGTAAGCTTAATATTTACGTAGTACTATATGAAAATGCTAAGACTTTTCCAATTATTACAAGTTTTGAAGCATCTCATACATCATGATACATTTTAAAACATTTGAGATTTGGATAGGTTCTATAATCTCGACAGCCCATTGCACATGAGGATTGTAATTTTGGGTTATTTACTGTAAAAATGACGAAAACACCTTTTTTACGGTAAGTTTTTTTTAATAGGCTCTCACTTTAAATTAGTCTCAGGTCTTTGATGTCTTCAACAACATTTCTTAGAACTATAAAATGCACAAGAATCCATCCTTTTAGGACCCTCCGTTTAAAAGATATATTCAAGCGCCACATATGAGGTCCGAATACTTACTAATCAGAAAACACTGAATGTAGGCCCTTAATTTTTTTTTAATAATTGCAGTCACTTTAACACTTTTGGATCATTTGTGACTTATCCTGGGTGAGATTTGAACTCGTGACTTTGGCGTGAGACGATGCCAACCACTACGCCGGGGTAAACTTCGGGCGCTTAATGAACTGAGCAACTTTTTCGAAGACTGTAAATCTGTAGAATGTATACTCACGGTGCTAGAGATGTTGCCCACGCTACCGGGTTCACTGCCCCACTGTTCCCCGTTTCACATTTTTCCGACCATTTGTGTACTCCCAACTAGACAGAGATGGCAAATGTACATTTTTACTGCAGAGATGTCATTGTATGGGAGAAACTAATGTCACTATATGTTTCCCCATAGAGCAATTCCACACCAAATTCCGAATCGATTTGATGCGGCCTTCTTCAAATTGCATAAAAATTTGAATAATTGTTTGTTATGGTCAATCATTCACGTTTGATATAATATTGAAGAGAATATTTTTTTGTTATTATAGCTTTAATTTTTTTTTCTATTTTTTACCCAAAATAATATGATTTTTTTTACAGTGCATATTTTTTTTCTGAAAGACATTTTTTTCCTATAACTTTGTCTTACACACCTTCCGATTTAGTGTAAAAAATTCGAGTTATGATCTGTTGAAAATATAGAACACGCTTTTTTGAAGTTTTTTGCGAGATTCAAAATGGCTACATACCTATAAGCTCAAATGTGAATGATTGACCATAACAAACATTTATGCAAAGTTTCATAAAAATCGGAGCATCTGAAATTCATAATTTTTTTGGCCTGGAAATGCTCCATAACATTTTTGCCCAACAAACAATTTTAGTTGCAAAACAGGCAAAAAATTGGCTGCATGAGTCATTTTTTGTCGGTACATATTAGCTATTCTGCAGCTGTCAAATATGAGATGAGAACCAAAATGGTCAAATTTTTGCACTCATTTGAATGATTGCCCATAGAATTAGTTCCACACGAAATACGTAAATGATCAGATATGAAGCTTTCTGATCAGTCAGTTTCAGATTATCAATTAATATGAAAGCCACCCTAATTTTGACCCTTACCATAAATCGGGGTATCTTTGAGAATGCGGGTAGCTTTGATAATATAACATAATGATTAAATTTATTTTCTGCACGCAAGGAAAACACCTTTTTCTTGAAAACCCTTATTTTCTTGAAATAAAATGATCATAACTTCTTGAAATTTTGCTCATTTTTAGTTGTATTAAAGATTATTCATATGCCACTAATTTTACTAAAATTCGTCCACTAGATAAAAGTTGAAAAACGAGCGTTTTACTTAAATAAATCAGATTCTTCCAATAAAGACCAAAACTTTAAATCAATTCACATCTGTTCAACCACCAGCCATGATTTTAAAAATACATCTATTCACCATGTTACAAAAAATTGTCCTCTAGGGTGTACGATCAATTTTGCGAAGAGGTACAGCTCTTAATTTTTGATAGCATATAGCAAAAATTACACCATTTCAAATGGTGTGATAAGATACTGTTTGTATTAGCCCTAACAAGAGATATTAACATTAAAAAGGCGTATTTTTAAAAGAAAAACGTCAATAACTCATGATTGGAAAATATATATTGACTAGTTCTGTGTGGCAAAAGTTGCGTCTTCAAAAGTTCTAAAAGTTGTCTCAAGACAACTTTGCAACGAAATTCGAAAAAAAAAAATTGAGGAAAAACACTGTTTTTTAGAGACACCCTAAGTTAACTAAGGAAAATTGCTTTAAATCGGTCAATTCCAGAGATAAAAAAAAGTTTTGTTCAGGTTAGCAACAACTTTGCCAAAGAATATATACCTTTATTTCAACAAATTAATAATTTATATTTTATTCCAATGATAATATGGACCACCCTAATATTAATTGACTCCAACATGAGGGCCTAACTACAAGAAACAATATTGTAAGACACCTTTTCTCTTAAGTTTAAATTTGTGGCTCTAAATTCCCATTCTGGACTACTGTGCAATGGTATCTAAGGATGAGTGGAAGAGAATCAATTCGAACCCATTCAAAAAATACACTGAATAGAAAATTAACCATAATTAAACAACCAGAATCAATCCATCTATGGTGAGATTACCCTTCTTACTAATAGGAATTCCAACATACTCATATTATGTGATGAAATGAATTCTCATGCGATTAAAGATATCGCATGATGGATGTTGACTCTAGTCAGAAACTGGCCACTTTCTCGGGGATACCCGGAAAATAGCTGGATGTGGCCAATGTGGTCCTGGGTACTTCAAATGACTACTGGGTACTCCAAATGAACTGGCTTATGAATTCGTGTGTGATTTAATGCGTCACTTGATGGGTTTTATTCGTTTCAGGTCGGATTTAGTCTCATGGCCCATACAAACCGCCTGAGATGAACTAGCCAACGGCTACAAATCTCATAAAGGCTTAAAATAAAAACCATACCATACAGAAATGCTTATATTTAAGATACTAGAAGCGGTTTCAAAAAGTGGCTTGTATATTTGTTTATAAGCATGTCATGTTTGATACCTGAAAGTGGATTTAGTATTTTTCATTCAATGAGAAAAAAGTCTTCTTCTTTTTTCTAGCTCCTACATTTCAATCAAACTAGAACTTTGTGTGGTGTTTTTCGAGTACTCACTTTAATCTCCTCTCCTGAGAGCTATTTGAACCTCTGCCATTTCTTAGCATTTGTATATTATGTGACATGAAATGTTTGGAAAACCGGAGAATTCCTTTTTTGGATCGCGAATTATACACTGAGGCAAATAGACTTAAGAATTTCATAAGGCTCGACTTATGAACGACACATATGAATTTCATAAGCGCGAGTTATGAAAGATTTTCGTCTAACGCGTTATACGCGTTTTGCCATTCCATTTACCCAAGCGTCGACAGACGAGTAGTCCAGACAAAAGACCCGTTCTCAACGTCCATGGTTCGGTTCCAGTCTGCTCCATTTTATTATTTTTTGTCGACATTATTTCCGATTTCCGATCACCGATTTCTTGTGGCTAAAATTCATAAGTGCCTCGGTGTACCCTTTGTCGCTCTTACTCGAGCTTTCGCCTACTCTCAACTTAGTGTTCTTGAAGCACTTCCACAGGTATTAATGGGAAAGGAAAGCTTTGTATGCGCCAACCAATGCATTAATTTGCCCAGGGATGCCCAGGAAAGTTGGGAAAATTTACACAACCTGAAACAAGATTTCATATACCGCCGCCTCCGGCTTGGAAATACCGTGCCTTAATCAACTACACTACCTGAGGCCTACAGCCACTCAAAAATGAAATGTACTTACCTTTCAACAATGGGCAAAGCTGCCCCAATGCTCCGATCGGCCCCCGTCCCGTGTACTGGCCAACGGCAAGCTCCATGAACAGCATCGGAATACCGCAGGTTAGGAGAATTATGAAATATGGCACTAGGAAGACGCCTGTAATTGACAATAACAATGGAATACAATTCACATATGCTGATGATGTTCTAGCCGACGCCTGACGACGGCGGATGTAGTCATTTACTTTCATTAGCCGTATTCGGCCTATTCGGCTAATTCGTGTAACGACTACGTGTCAGCAAGACTTCGCGAACGTCATTAGCAACTATGCACCACTTGATACGTACCTCCTCCGCTTTTGTAGCACAGGTAAGGAAACCGCCAAACGTTGCCCAATCCTACCGAGTAGCCGATGCAGGCCAGCACGAATTGCATCTTGTTGGCCCAGTGCTGCTTTCGGGGCTTCAGGTTATCGATGTCTGAGTCGTCCGAGACACCCGTGTAGCTGTCATTGTCGTACGGTTCTTCCGGAGGGCTGTCGGGGGAGATAACGTAAACATGTGAATTTTGCTAATTGATATAAAATTATTGTAATTTTAACTGTATATAGTTGTTTTTTAAATGTAAACGATAAACAATAAACACCGACTAAAATGAGCAAGATGAGTACCATCGAAATGGTGTGTGTTTTTTAATTTTGTTTGTGGAAATTTCAGGGAGACGACACTTTATAAGTATTAATCAACTGTGCAAAGCTAAAGGTTTTGTTTTCGCTATGCTTTGAAGGTTTTTTTTTACTGGACATGATATTATCCAGATCGCATAGATTTCCAATATTTGCGACATCAATTGAAAGCACGCTCTACTTCGTCATTTTTTTTTCTAACCATTCTAATGAATACGATAAACGATCACTCACGAGGGTACACCGAGAGAGGTGAGATTATTCAAATTCGCTGTTGCTAAACCGATCTCTTGTCGCTGCGCTGTGGACTGTGGTTTTACTTCGCTACACCGCATCGGTAGGTATCGCGTTCCATCACCGTATGATGATATGGTCGCGGTAATCTCAAATATCACCACGGATCGAATGTTTGTGCAAAAAATTGTAGCAAAAAAAAAAGTGGTGCTAATAAAGCCAATTGTAAATGCCATTGTACAAGGCTGGATCATACGATATCCCATCCAAAATTACAGGAATGTATCCTATCCGTGTGAATTTCGTCTGTTGATTTATCAATTAAGCATGGATTGGCAGTTTAACATTTTCCGTAAATACTGGACGATGACGGTGTTTGGTTGCTGATAGAGACTATGTTAAATATGGAATTTACCTGAAAATAGATGTAAATATTTTCGAGCGAGTTCTATTTGTGGCTACAAGACCCTTTTTTGGTGTCAACAAAGGAAAAATAAACCTTGCCGTTTATGTATGTATGATCACAGACTGCATGAAAGACTGAAGGTATGATCACAGAATATGTGGTATGATAATCATTCCAGCAGTAAAGATTCTGCGACGGATGAACACATGCATAGCTACTTGAAGCTGAAAATCATTCTAAGTCAGTGATCCAAGCCAAAATAGGTCCTAATAAGATGCAAAAGTTGAAAATTGATCCTAATAAACGTTGCAGCAAACTTTAATGCGAAGTAGAAGCCGAAATTTGATCCTTATAGCTTATAAGGATCGATTTCCGGCTTCTACATCTCATTAGGATTGTCAAAGCTAAATTCTCAGGTTGTTTTATGTATCAAACACAAACTTTACAAAATTTTCTTGCTACTTGTATTTACAAAATATCGTCATAATATCTTATTATTCCATAATTTCACAAAACTTTTTTTTCCAAAATGAATGGAAGGCACCCTGCTTATAATTAGCAGATGATTAAAATCGTTCCTAGTAAGTTGTAAATGTCGATCCTAATTTGTTGAAGATTTAGGTCTCAAACCTGGCAAGTGCTTTTCTAGTGCATATATTTAGTTTTTAGATTGCACGTCAATGTTCCAATCATTCTCAAATCTCACTCATCCTCAGAGAATAAACTCGCGTGCTAATTTATAAAATTTCATTTGAAGGTAATACTCATATCATACCGCTCAAACGTCAATTGATAGCAGAAATATTCAATAGGGTCTTATGGGACCATGGTAAGAGAAAACAGTCCATAATGTACCCCTGGGGTAAAATGGCCCCGTGCGGGATTTCGTTGCTTTTCCAATACTAATTCTGGAATATTATGGGCCAGAATGCTTGTTCAACTACTGAACTAGCAATGTTGCTCGTCGAATTCACAAATTGGCAATCGGAAAGCTATTAAAAACAGCGTGGGGTCATTTTACCCTAGGGGTGTGTTTTAGACCCTCCTACCCTACCATTCATTTGGTGATTGTTGCGTCGGTTTTTCAAGTAATAAGTAAACATCAGGGTGTCGACAAATCAAGGAATACTAGGGAATTAATTTTTGGACCTGGAATATCAGGAAAATATGTCTTTATAACAGAAACCTATAAATACGAATGACTGATTTTGCTAGTTTCAAACAACTTGTACTCAGTGTACTTAGTTTGAGGATGGTTTTTCATTTCAAATTTTAAATAGAGTTGCGAACTTGTAGTTGTTCAATGCTTGATGTTTCATTTTTGCAATTTAAGCAAAATTTCTCAACTAAAAGGGTATTTCCATGATTTTGCGCCTATTATAAATTCAACTTTCACTGGGCGTTGTCACATTCCTGAGTTGAACTTAGATAAAAATCCATTTCCGAAGACGCTAGACGCTGTTAGTAGTTGCAAAATTTAAGCTGCTAATGCGTCTCTTAATAGATATTACACCTAATTGCGTCTGACAAAATTTAACCTTCGTGTAGATTGGTACGTCTGTTCGATCCAGCTGTGTCCAACAAAAATCAAAACCTTGAGCGCATTGGAGCGCCTTTGAGTAAATGCAAGAATGGTAAAGAATTAAGCTGGGTTTAGACAAGGCAAGTCATTGATCAACTCAGTTAAATTAAATTGGCTTGAACAGTTGGTGGTTCAACATTTTTCAATTCAAGAGAGTTGATCAAGTCAGTCAAATGGCATGGTTTCAACTGAGTTGATCAATTGACTTGCCGGCTTTAAGAGAAGATGGTGGTTTTTTTTCTAAATACGTTTAGCTATTGTTCCTTATAGTGTTCTTAACAGCTTGATTGGCTCAGAGAACTAACTAAATGAAAATTTAGGATAATGGTCTTGCTTGGCTGGATTTTCTTCTTCTTTGATTGCTTGGAGTAGCCCTTTTATGATTGAATAATGATTCAAATATGCGTAGACAAGCATTCCCAAGTAACCAAAAGTTCTGATAAAAGGCTATTTGTGGCTTAAGCAGCTTGGTTGAAGGTGGTCTATAGAATTCTAAGCAACCTCATTTTTAAGTCGTTGTAAGACTTTGAAAGTTCCGGTACCATAATTGAAGAGCATCAGAGATATTTTAAAGTGAGCTGTTGTCCCGCCTACTGTTGGAGTTTTCAGTGCCAGCTGACTGACTTGAATACGAAACACAACACCTTGATGAATTTTAAATTGGTGTTTGTCCGCTTGGTATTCCAACACACTTGTGGCGCAGTGCTTAGCAATCGTAGATCGCATGCCGAATACACGGGTTCGAATCCAGGAAATTACTCTTATTTTTTTTTATGTTTGGTAGAATGTTGTTTCACTGTTCTGTCGGAACTTTATTTGAACTTTATGGAACTTGAAAGTTCTGTCGGGACTTTATTCGAACTTTATGGAACTTGAAAGTTCTGTCGGAACTTTATTTGAACTTTATGGAACTTGAAGGTTCAGTCGGAATTTTATTTGAATTTTATGGAACATGGAAGTGATTTTAATAGTTGAATGCGGAACTTTTGGTTACTTGAGTTGCCTTATAGCGTGGCTTTATCGAGAATTCTAGGTCTTCATTGGAAACCTGGTTAGCTTGTTAAATTAGTTTCTCAGTGATGTTTTAGTATTGTTATGTTGCTGCTATTGCAATTTAGCTGGATTAACTTACAGAATTTTGGAGGTGAAAGCGCTGTTTGCTGGAGGAATCCACCCGCGAATTAACTTTTGTTTAAGCGTGTTATCCGGAATAATTTTCTTGTGGAGCTGGGTCTGATAATGTGCTCAAGACAAAACAAATATAATGGGATTAAAAACAAGTGTTTCATATGTAAAATGCAGAGTGACTAGTGATTCGGGTAAACCGAAAAAAAAACTGAGAATTTGAAGTCACCGGGAAAAAAACCTGAAGATGACAAATCTGGAAAAATATACCTCGTCCTCTCTTCGAAAACAATAAGATCTCAAGGCAATTGGACTGGACTAGATTTTCAGGATACAGTCACTTTGAAGAACTATTAAGAGAACTTTAGCATTTTTTTTTCCAAATCAAATTTGAGCAGATTTTAAAATGAATTCTAGAGATAACACCAAGGCATTTCAGAAAATATTTAGTCAGTTTTTACTAGAACTATCAAGAGTGAAGAGGATTCAAGGATTCATGAAAAATACCAAGGGAAGCTACTTTTGATGCTACAATCGCAAAATAATACTGCGAAGATCTATAAGTCGAGGATAAGTCTAAGCGCATTTCGAATGGAATTTCTAGAGAATTTTAATGAGAATTCCATGCATTTTCCAGAAGAATTTAGAAGTGAAATCCAATATAATTCTGAGCAAAATTTGAAGACATTTCTCGGTGGGAGAATTTCCCCTGCCCGATGGCAGGGAATGGGAATTACAAGTTTTGCTCATAGAAGCTAATAGGTCCTTTTCAATTGTTGGTCGAGAATCTGAGAATTGCATGGAAACTCTACGGAGAATTTCAAGCAAGTTTAACAAAATAGAAGAGTTTAAAATTCTAAGAAAATCTGAGGACGAATTTAAAGAATTTCTGGACTGTTATGAAGACATTTTCGAGGGACTTCCAGAGAAAATTTCAAACTTATTTCAAAAGAATTCTGAAAATAACTCTCAATCATATAAAAGCCTGTAAAGTTTTGAGCGAATACATCGAACGTGTCGCTGCTGTCTTAGAAATGACCCATTTAACCTTCGGCTCAATCACATTCAGTCTAATGCTTAGTTAAAATTTCCAAAATTCCGGGAGAAAAACGGCAATAACCGGAAAATTGCTAATCGAGATTTGCTGGTCACCATGAAGATGGAGGAGATCTGGATGAATTTAGCCCCTAGGTATGAGTTCGGAAGCAGTCAGAAAATAATTTCTAAGTGTGAGACAATTGCTATGCGAAGGACCTCTTCTCGTATCAGTGAGTAAATGGTGATTAGAAACGGATCATGAACTTGCTGAATTAAGGCCAACGCAAGCAAATTTAAAAAAGTTGAAGGAAGCTTCTGTGAATTCTAAGAAAAAAAATCGAAGAGAATAAGGTCAAATTTCATGAATTTTTGTTAAGATAATTTCTGGACTTTTATAAAAAAAAATCAAAAGAATCTCAAATTTATTTTAGAAGAATTCTGGAAAACAAACTCTGTGAAGGGAAA